CACATACTTTTCAAACCTTCTGATTGCAAGAATGCAGTCAGTCAGAAGAAAGTTTGCTTGAAAAGAGAGGGCTTGAAAGGAAAAGAGCTAAACCTGGCACTTTTTTCTTGCTGATGTTTGACCTAGTTTGCTTGGTACTTTTAGCCTGACTAATCTATTAGCAGGCCAGTATCATCGCCCGATATTAGCTATTTGACAGTCGGTATTTGTATTTTAAATAACTGCTTGGTGAAAAAGAAAAATGTAAAGAAGAGATGGAAGAAACACTCTTCTATTTTATATTGCATAGTTTGTCCACCAGAGGGCACTGTGCAACTTCCCAGAGTCGGGTAGAGAGCAAACAAGTAAATAAGCAACTACATATAACAAATTGTGTAGTTATTTATTTTATGGGATTTTTCTTTCTTTCAGACACATGAAACAGTCGATATATCAGAAGGTCAGATGTTTAAATGACAAAATATCAATATTTGTTTCGGCTTTAAAAATACTTGCTACCTGCCTGAGTTCTGTCAGGTCCTTAACTGCGGTGGAAAAGCTGCTGAACAACCTTTTTTTTTTTTTTTTTTTTTTTTAAAAAAAAAAAAACAAAAAGAAAACAGGTTGTTGAAATCACATACTTTCTGTCTGAACCTTCAGTACACTCACATACAGCTTTTAGAACAGAACCAACAGATTTAATCACATACTGCATGAAACTTCTAATAGTTGTTGTTATATATGTAGCTATATAGCTACATATATATCAGATTGTAGGCATACCATTTCTTTCAGTGAACTATAATCTTTTTCTGTCATCTTTGCCTCTGTGAAGAGAGCTGTAAAATCTAATAAAGTAAAAATACACAAATGCTTACTGTTCCACAGTATATCACAGTATGCTGTAGCAGGGTGATGGTGTTCTGCCTCGTTTTTTAACCCATTTATCAATGTTTCCCTCTGCCTGTTCAGGATGGAAAGAGAATGTTTGGTACTTACTTCAGAGTTGGATTTTATGGTACGAAGTTTGGCGACTTGGATGAGCAAGAGTTTGTGTACAAAGAGCCTGCCATCACAAAGCTGGCTGAAATCTCTCACAGGCTAGAGGTAAACTATGCTGTGCTCGTGTTCTCTCTCTATGAGTCTAATTGTTTTCTGTGAAAGAGTAAAATGTTCTGTTCTTTGTCTTTTCTGGTAGGGTTTCTATGGCGAGCGATTTGGAGAGGACCAGGTAGAAGTCATTAAGGACTCCAACCCTGTGGACAAGTGCAAGCTGGACCCAAATAAGGTTTAGTGTTGATAAATGAGATGAACAAATGTTAAACGGATGGAAATGGTCTTAGCTAAAAAAAAAAAAACAACCCAAAAACATTTGTCCCTCTAGGCATTCATCCAGATCACATACGTGGAGCCGTACTTTGACACTTACGAAATGAAAGACCGCATCACATACTTTGACAAGAACTACAACTTGAGACGTTTCGTCTACTGCACTCCTTTCACCCTGGATGGGCGAGCACACGGGGACCTGCACGAACAGTTCAAACGCAAGACCATCCTCACCACCTCCCACGCCTTCCCGTACATCAAGACACGGATCAACATCATCCACAAAGAGGAAGTAGGTCTACAGTCTGCCTGCTCTTCACAGGCAAATTCCACAAATGTTCAGCCTTTTCATGCAACCACTCTGTCACTCTTCCAGATTATATCCACACCGATAGAAGTGGCAATAGAGGACATGCAGAAAAAGACTCAGGAGTTGGCATTTGCCACCCACCAGGACCCTGCCGATGCCAAGATGCTGCAGATGGTCCTTCAGGGATCAGTAGGCACAACTGTAAACCAGGTAAGGTTTTGAATTTTTAGCATGCAACAACTGTTAGTTACAGCACTACTGATTCACAAAGCTGAAAGCTGATGTTTATGAGATTGTTCTGTTTTTCCAAGGGTCCTTTGGAGGTAGCTCAAGTGTTCCTGTCGGAGATCCCCAGTGACCCAAAATTGTACAGACACCACAATAAGCTTCGGCTCTGCTTTAAAGACTTCACCAAAAGGTATGGATTGTCCTTCCTCTAGGCAGAAGTTGAAACCTTCTCCTCTCACCCTGTACAAGCTGTAAAAATGATACGATACCACTGATGGTTGCTGTGTTGCTATATAACCAGACTATAGCACCCAAGTGCTATAAGTTTTCACTTCACTCACCAAATTAGTTTAGACTTTCAGTCGATCATTTTATTTGAAACAGAGAACACGTGCTGCGTATTTACATAGCAGTATCGCACTATATTTCCCTGTCTAAGGTGTGAGGATGCCCTACGCAAAAACAAGAGCCTGATTGGTCCAGACCAGAAGGAGTACCAGAGGGAGCTGGAGAGGAATTATCACCGGCTGAAGGAGGCACTGCAGCCTCTCATCAACAGGAAGATCCCCCAGCTTTATAAGCCTGTACTGCAGGTCAACTCGCACAGGTAGGGCCAAGCAGGCTTTCTCTCCATGTGTATGAACGATGTGAGTGAGAGTAGAGATTAATTTCTTGGTTGTTAAGTTAAATCAGTCTTTTTAAAAAAAATTGTTTTGCTTTTGTTTTGTTTTGTTTTTGCTTCTGTAAAAACGATGCAGCAAACGGACAGCTTGACAAGGTAGTTTGGACTTCTCGGAGTACGTTTTGTGTTGTGTTTTTGTTTTTGTTTTTTCGTTTGCATGTTTCTCACTGTTCAGGTTAGAGGGAAATGCTTTCAGTTTTAATTCTAAAATTAAAAATGAATTGGATTTGTAAATGTTTAAGGATACATCATACTTTTTTTCGTGCAACTTTATTTATCAGTTAAGAATTTACCTGTTGTATGAAGGGAACAACCAAGCCACACACAGACTTATTGCATTCATTCGGATTTTACTTACCTTTTATTTATAAAGCACCAATTCACAACAAGTTGCCTAAAGGCACTTTATATTGTAAGGAAGAGACCCCACAGAACATCATTTTTTCAGTGTGTCCGTTCATTTTATAAATTATATTTTTTATCAAGGATGTCGAGCATTTGTGATTTTGTTTACAGATTTACAGATAAAAGGTGTACTGATGGAAATATACGTATATGCTTTTCAGGGCTTTAAAATTGCAGCAGCCAAAATTAGCTGCAGTTTGGCTGGGCAACTTCTTTATGTTGCCATTGGACACAAAAAAGGCTCGAGAGCACGGCGTATTATAAATTCTAAAAAACGGTGGATTTATCGAGAGGACACCGAAGTTGTCTCTCTAGTGATTCCACAGCAGTACAAGAGCATCATCTGTTGACGTAACGAGGTATAACCTCCGTACGTAAACATAAGTGTTAGAATAGTGAACAATAATAAACAAAAACAAGGGGCAGTTTGTTCTGACAAAATTAAACATGTAGCATTTTCAAATCTACTGCAAATACTTTGAACAATCACAGGCAGTGGGCTACAGATCAAATACTACATGACATAATTCAATCATCTCCAGTCGGAAAAAACGTGTGTTCCCTGATTCATTGGCAAGGGGGTCTAGCTGTTGCTGAGTGAAATTGGTTGCACTAAAAACAACTGCAGGTTGTTGCAAGCCGTCTGTGGTTTTTCATTTAAGACGCAGATGCTATTTACTCTCAGAGCTGTAGTAAATCTTGAAATAGTGCAGCGCAAACTGGAAAACGGCTAGGAACTGCCACCAATCACTTGCCAAACAGTCGCAGAATATACAACCAGTGGTTACCTGGCAGTCACTGACCACGCCCCAAGGCCTTGGTTAATGGGACATTTAAAATTAAGTCCACAGTGACTGACAGCAAAGTCTAGCAACTACAGCAACCAGAGAATACATAGTTTTCCCTCACAATATGTTGCCTGGTGGTTACTCTAGGCCTGTGAGATTGGGGTCAGCATTGATTTGTAGCATGTATGAAGCATGTGTTATATGCTTGTGCTCGTCTTGTGAGAAGGTAGAGCTACAGGAGGTCAGCTATTTTCACATACTAGGCTTTTCTAGATTTCTTCCTACTGCAGCTTTAACATTTCAGGTCAGCTTCTCGTGACAGCTCAAAATTCTTAGTATTTTATTTCTTCTTTTTTTTTGTCCTCGTTAACATCTTTTTGTTTTTAATTTGCAGAGATTCCTTCAGCAGAATGAGTCTTCGCAAGCTTGACATTTGAAGATGAAGAGAACTACACACAAGCGCACCTGTACACCTACACAAACACTTAACTGAAACTGCAATATTAATTTATTCTCCAGTGTAAATAGGAGTGTCTCTTGAAAGTTGGTCAGTGTTTGGAAAAAAGCGTGTTTAAACAAAAGGTTGAAAAGACTTGCAGCTTGGTACGTCATTCCAGTGTCTTAATTTGTTTACAGACAAACTGTTACACAATCAGCGCAGCAAACAAGTGGAACTTCAAATTAAAGAGATACCTTGGCATTTAGAATTTCTTTTTGCTAGTCATTTCAGTAGGTAACAAGTGCTTATACTGTCCCCATGCTACCTTAAAATAACAAAAAACAAAGCTCATGTCAGCAAGCTATGAAGAATGCTCCAGAGTTCTGTATTTCAGTAAAGTGCCAAAAAAAAACCACCCTTTTTTTCTGCCAAATTCTTACAATTTTAAAAGTCAAGGTGTCTTTTTAATTATGTACGATGTGTCAAAAAAATCTGTACTCAATTTTCATGTGTGCACTTTTTTTTTTTTTAATGGTGTAGCATTGCATTTTACAACTTGAAAGTTTATGTAATGCAAAATGGGAGAGAAACCTTAAACCATGCAAAAAAAATTGTACCAGTATTTATCATGATGCTTTATTATTGTTTTTAGTTGAGGCGCCAATGTTTTAAACTTAGGTACTTTAAACCTCATTGTATAATTTTATGTAGTTTTGTTTTATTTTAAATATTTTACTAAATAAATATTTTAATGTTCAAGTGGTCTGATGTGATGTTTCTCTGTTATTATGGACTTTGAGGTAAGTCGGCCAGAAACTAAGACGACAAAAAGCCTGAAGCTGGTGTGAAGGTAAAAACTTTATTGCTTTCACTCTGAAACCCCGCTATGCCACTTCCGCATAATGAGAACTGGAATGGTACAGTTAAAAAGGACACAACAACACAGTAAGGGTGCTTTTAACCAAGCATTTCACTTTAAATAATAAACTCATCTTTGAAAGACAGGTGAAAAGGGTTTGTAATACTTAGAAAGACAGCTCATCAGACCCAAGTAAATCTCTGAAACCATCACTAGACCTGAGATGAACAAAGTTACCTTTACTGAGTTTTTAAAGCTCAATTGATGCAACCCCCCCCCCCCCCAAAAAATCTATCATCTGCTATGCATGACTAATCAATAAATTGTCACAAAAGACTCAGTCCATCATAAACAGGAAACTTACCACATCAAGTTAAAATGTTTTGTGTCTAGGCTGTTAGATCAGATATGGAGCATATTAATGCAAAAGAGGAAAATCTATTTTTTTCTTCAACTATAGTATCTTAAATCTGTCATGAGACAAAACTTGATATTACATAGGTTTAATCAGAGGGATGGTGATTTGTTTTAATAGATCAAAATATAGATATGTATATACATCTCTAAATATAGATATAGACATACATATAGATTTCAAAACCAGCAATATGCAAGTACAAAACTGAATATTCGCTGCTTGAGAACTTCCATCAGTCCGGTTTTAGTCTTAACTTTGTTATTTTATCTCTAATGAACTTTAAAAACTGTTCTCTCTCTCTTTTAAAAGAAGAATGGAGGTAGGTCATAAGCTAAATCATGGTCTCAGTGGGCAGTTTTTCCTCCCCATAATAACCATGAACTGTATATAATGATATTTATACTGTGCTTTTTGACCCTCCTTGCAGCATAAAACTGAACTACAGCTTAAGGAGTTTTAAATTAGAGATTCAGATCTTAAAATCCTGACTAGTGCAAACATCTCACTTGACAGTTGTACACTACATTAGAGACTGACTGTTTTCAGACCGATATTTGGTCATTTAAAAGTCTCATATTCTAATATTTATTTCAGATACACAAAACAAACAATTCTCTAACATTTGTTATATGTAGTTAATTATTGTTTATGCTCCACCCGATTCTGTTCAATGAGCCTTTCACATTTGTGGCATCCCAATCACGAGCTGCCACAGAGAATCTGCAGCACGCCCTCTGGTGGTCAGACTATACAGATATCAATCGTGCTCACATTAAATCGGTTGGGCTCTATAGTAAAATATCAAACAAGCAGTTTTCCATAACATTGTAAAATGTATATTATAAAAACCTGATAGTTCACTGATAAAATCAAATTGCGTCCTTCACTCTGACAAATCTGACATCTGAGCCTGAAACTGTTGACTGCATAAACTAGTGTCAACGAAGCATGTAGAAACTTTTTAATTATTATTAGACAGCTGAGTGTTTGTTGTAAATATCTGTTGTAACTAAATGAGTTTCTGAGAATCTGTCGGTTTCACTGTATAAATGACATCAGTTTGAGGCTTCAGATATACAGCTAAATTGTACAGGTTTCTATATAAAAACCCTCACAAAACAAGGGATCAGTTGATGAGAAAAGCTTCAGGGTAAAAGCTTTTCTGATAAACTGAAAAAATAACATGAGAACATTTTCAAATTCAAACAGAATACAGACTGCTGCGCCCAGGGGGGGAAGTCAGTTTTCAACATTTTTACTTAATTCAATTTTAGTTCAACGTGCTTTGCCATTTTGTAAAAAACAAACAATACAAAGTCAACATTGAAGAAAGACCAAAAAAACAAAAATACACAACCAATCATCCCTAACGTTAAAAAAAAAACAAACAAAACAAACTTTGACCCCAACTGGGCGTTTCTGTTTAGAGTACCTGCACATGAGTGGATGAGAAGGCGGAAGCGCCTTGATCCCACCGTGGGGCTGTTGCAGGTTTAGTTTTCCTTGGCTGAAAAGTCACTTCAGTTTCAGTGTAAATGTGGCAGTCACAGTGTGTCTGGCACTGTTTGAAGTATTGCAAAAACTCCATCTGTCTTTTGCCTGGGAGCTCAGTTTCCTGTAAGGTCTGTCTATTTCAGTGTCCAGGTTCAGGCATCCTTCTGTAGAACAGCAGGTAAGGGGTTGATGAGCAGCACGTCTCAGGAGAACAGGCTCGCAGGAAGTCGTCCTCCTCAAACAAACGCACCTCAGAGTCATCAAACAGCAGCCATTTCCCTTCATATTCCAAGAGGCTATTTAAAGCCTTCTGCTCTTTGGTCTCTGTGCTGCCACAGGAAGCCTGCGATGTCTCCTCTACTGCCTCGGGCTCTTTTTTAAGTCCAGCTTCAGTGTTTTGGCTCAAAATGTTGATGGTTTTTCTCCTATTACAACCCTCCGTCGAACCACTGCTAGCTGCTTTCTCTGTGTGTTTACTGCTGCTGTTCCCGAGGTCATAGCTGGACACACTCCTCTGGCCTCCCAAGAGTCCGACACCCCCCTCTGACAGCTTTTTGCTCCCTGATTTGCTGCTTGCCAAACTCTCGCGCCGCTGTCCTCTCGTACTCAGGCTGAAAGACACCTCTCCATCATCGTAGTCCAGCACCGTCTCCTTCACCAGAGCACCTTCTTTGTCTTCCTTCACCTCGTCCTCCTCCTCCTTCTCTTCAGTTTTTGTGTCCTGCAGCCAGATCTTCACATCTGTTAAATCAGACATTCGGATGTAGGCAGTGTAGTGGCCACTGCTGATGGTCACACCACTATGCATGACGACAGCAAACAGCTGATAGTTTTGACCTTTAGTGGATGAGGACTGGGTACACCACTCCTCAAGGGATAAGGTCAAAGGAGTCTGTAAGGGAGTGTTCACTTTAGAAAGACCAGCATATGGGTCCAGTCTGGGAAGAGAGAACAATACAGATATAAGAGTACATTTAGAAACTAGAGATCAAAGCAGTAAAAACTCTACAGCAAAGGACTGATTCTATTTCTCCATGATGAGAATCTTTTAAGTCTAAGCATGTGGTACAGCGATCACTTTTTCAAACACTAGCTCAAATTCATTCCAGTAGAGTTTGTGTAGTGCGGCAGTGATAACTGAGACTTCAGTGGACTCACTCTAAACCGTTGGCAGAGAAGCGCTTTAGGTGAATAGTGATGACTTCAGGAGTCTTGTCAAACAGCAGACTCCTCTCGGCCTCTGTGTAGTGATGGCAGGTCTCACAGAAGTATTTATCCTCCCCAAAAATGCGCTCCACCGAAGCGAACTGAGATATGGCCCATTTCAGAGTCTTCAGCTCTGGTTTAGGGTCTGGTGAGACTGAAAAAACCCCCAAAAAAAACAAGATTTTTAAGATAAAAAGGGGGAAAATAAAACCCACACCCACAAAAAACAAAAAACAAAAACAAAAAAAACCTCCATAACTACTATTTTACAACTAATAGTTGTAAAAATTCTCACCCTCAGAGAGGTCATCGGGGCTGCTGGGCTGGTCATCAAGCACAGGGACACTGATGTCCTGGAAGTCCTCTCTCCTCTCTGTGAAGCTCTCACACTCCAGACATCGAGTCCTCAGAACCAGCCGACCTTGGAACAAACGCTCCATGAGGCTCAGGCCCGCTGAACGAACATAAAATCCACAGTTAGTAACATCTAGAACTCCATAAATAAATGTAGGCTCCTAATGCACGTCAAAGTACAAATTAAAAGTTAAAGTGAATGACCAAACATTTAGTCTGTCCCAACTTTTCTGCTTTTTTTGGGATGCTTATTCATTTAAATTCATTAATTGTGATATGGGGGCAAAAGGCAGGAGATCAGTTAGGCTTGGGGCTTAAGAGGTTAAAGTGAGTCATTTCTTTCTCAACTAAACGTTTTCTTCATAATCGCTGCCTCTTACGATGATCGCAGGTCACACGTACCTTGATGTTTAGGAGCCTTGCTGTGTTCGGATGCATTTTGGCTGGGTGGCTCTTGAAGGTTTTTCTCACTTTCGTCGTGCGTCACTCCATTTTCCTGCTCTGTTTTGTTTTGGTTCTTCACAGTTGTGCAGCTGATCTTTCCCACGCTGCGGAACTTGGAGAAAATACTTGGCTGCTTTCCAGACGGCCTCAGGCAGCTCAACTTAGCTCTCTTCTTCCTCTTCCCATCTGCCTCTTTACACGTCTTCTCACCTTTCCCCTCATCGTCGCTTCCTCCTTCCCCATTTGGTTTCTTCGTCTCTTCCTCACCTGCCGCCTCCTCTCCACCTTTATTCTTGCTGCTGTCCATGGTGATTTCACTGGAGGACTTCCTTTTGGAGCGAGTAAGGGGTCTATTTCTACTCAGGTTTTCCTCTGCAGAATCTGATTTCTTAGACTTCAGGGATTTGGATTTTTTCTTGGCATTCCCCACTTCTGTGTCGCTCTTTCTTTTCCCAGCAACTTGACCATCCTCTTCCGTGGAAGCTTTGGATTCTGCGCCAGAGCCGCCGGACCCCAAATCGAGACCATTCTCGAGTTTAACTTCCGACACATCCTCCTCCTCGCCTTCTACTTTCAGCTCTTTCCTGATAGTATCACAGGCTTCCTGGATATATCCCAGGATGCACTGCAGAACTTCCTGAGCATCATGCTGGAGATAACCTTCGTACATGGGGTTCAGCTGCCTGCGACACAAAACCACAAACTTGTGTCAAACTGACAGAAAATGGCAATTTTAATGAAAGTGTTCAAAAACACAAAAGTGCCAATCTGGAGTTTAAACATGTCAGCATGCTTACTTTAAAAATGATTCGTAACCAACTCATCAGCTTGAGCTATGACTGAGCATTAATGATGACAAGTTTTTACCTTTTAAACAGCATAATAATGATCAAAGCTCCACATTCATGATCCTACATGTGCATCTAACTGCAACTAAGTGTTTAATCAATGTTATATGCACGTATACAATGTGACAATATTTGGGTGTTTAGTAACATTTAATATTCGAAAGCCATTAAGTCATCGTGCTAGAAAAAAGACAGCGTGGGAACAAACTGGTTACCTAGCAACACAAGCGTATGATCTAATAAGCAACTGGGTTACAAATATTTATTGAAACTGCCAAATCTTTACCTGAGCGTGTGCAGAATTTTGCGCGGTGGTGTGGCTAGCTCTCCATCGGTGAAGCTGTCAGGATTAAGCAGGAAGCTAGACTGCAGCTGCTCCACTGCAGTTATCAAAGTGTTGAAGCTCCCAAGAAGCTCGATGTGAGCTGGCAGAGCCTCCGACACACCGTCTGACTGCTGACAGTGTGGCTGTAGGAAAATGACACAGAGTAAAAAGGTTACTGAAATATGCTTTCGTAGCTCAGAAGACAGACACCCTCCTTTAATGCTGCTGCTTTTTTCAAAACTGTATATTTTACAATAGGAATACAGTGCACTGTGTCATAACTCTTTGAGATGAAGGCTACTGGACTTGTTTTTGGTTCATGAAGGTTTTCACCTCTTGTCCAAAAGGCTTCTTCAGTTCTGAAAACTTATGGGGAGTCCCACATAATTAACTTCAAGCTCTGAAGACTAGAGTGCACTATATTGTTCAACAACTTTAAAAAGAAGCATGCAACATCTCCCATCAGAGGAGTTAATAAGTGCTAAACTTTGGACCCACACTGTGGCTGTGATTTATTATGCACGTACCTCTTCGCTTTTCTCAGTTTCTTCCTTGGGTTTCTCCTTCTGGATGGAGAGATCGTGAAGCTTCTTTATGCCTTCTCTGAAGCCTGGGCAGTAATAAAGAACCTGCAGATGCAATCAGACATCAACACATCATTATTGTGATTTTAAACTGGATGTGATAACAAGTAATCCACACAAGTGGAAAACTCAAAGCATCTTCAAGTAATCAGGTTGTTAAATGCTGGTGATATTATGATGACACAAATAAGCGCGAAAAACGTGTCCATGACCTTCACAGTCATTTGTGCTTCAGTACTTAAAGTCCAACAGTAATTCCCATTAACCCAGTAATGGTCACAGTGAAATATAATTTCCTTTACCGGCTCAACATAATAGCAAAAATCTGTTAAAAATGACTGTCCAAATATGAAGCTAAACCGTTCTGTTTTAGTCATTAGACACACAGCTTCTTGCTTTCGCATGTTGGATGCACTTCAGAATTATTCTAATTATTACAATAAGCTCTTTAGTCATCCAAAGTAAGGTTAAAAAAAGTCCTGTTTAGAAACCTTAAAAAAAAAAAAAGGATGGAGAGAAAAAGAATCTGGTTCTATACTATTCCTAACTGTGATTACAATAGACCCTGTGCACAAGAAAATGCTAACTTCCTGGTTTGAGACCGGATGTAGGGTTGTACATTTCCGGTAGCTTTACTTTGCGGTCAATCACTACTGCGAAGATATACTCCAAAATCATGTCCAAAACTCAAAAACGGAAAGATCGCGTTACGTTACAAAGAGCAGAAGGTGGGAACACTCACCACTGTTGTGTCATAAAAAAATCTAATGATCAATTTTGACGTTTAAAGAGTTTAGATCGATCAGTTGTTTACATCACTCAACACAAGCAGAACTGCATTACAAAATCAGAAGACACATCATCCACATTCAGAAGCATCTCTGTATAGTGACTGGTCTTATGATTTAAACAGGCAAATGTTCAGCATTCAAACTACAGGTGAAGAATAGTCAAACCAGATGTTTCCCCCGTTATGTCGATATCAGCTAGTCAAGTACACACCTACACAGCATGTTAACAAACCGTGAAAAAAAGCCACACAAAAAATGAATGATTGCTGGTAAGGGTTTCTGTACATTAGTATTTACGAAGGGTATGTTGTGACTTCCCTTCAAAATTACAGTGGTCCTTCGCTTTAACGCAGTTCACCTTTTCACCTCGCTGTTTCTCCTCTGTGACGTCTCTCCTGTACAGTACAGAATCGATAGCTAGCAGAGTGACTCTGAAGTGCAGTACTGTATGTCGATGAAATGTTCTGCACTGTCAAAAAAATAAAATTGGCTACTTGATTTCACCTATCGCTGGTTATTTTTAGAACATAACACCCGCAATAAACGAGGGACCGCTGTTTACAGATACTGAGAAATATAAAATTTGAATCCCTTTTCTCTTTTGCTCTGAGAAGCGGGGGAAAAAATATAGACAAGTCGATGAACATCATTTACAGATATATTGGGTAAATGCCCAAGACATCTATAGAAATGTAAATCGCCGCTTGATTCATTCATTTGCTTAACTTGTTTTGGACCGTAAACAAGGCGCGAATAGGACACCGGAAACAAAGCTCCCCAAAGGAGTTTCCGCACCAGAAGTAGCATATGCTAACGTGCATATAGTCTATTAAAGCAGATAAGTGCTACTGTAATTACATATCTTCTATTAAAGCAGTGAGTACATGAAATCCTGCTCACTAAACTAACTCCATACTTCAGAAAAGTGATGTGCCATCACTTGATTCCATTAGCAACTAGTATTTAAGTGAAAACATTGTGCTTAATTTATGCTCCTGAGATTTTGTCTGTTTCCAGAGATATTTACCTACAGAGATAGGTTTTTAACCACCAGAAATGTGCTGATTGGTTGCCAAGTGGGCCAGAACAGGGAAAGGAGTTAAAAAAATAAAATAAAATAAAAAAATGTATGATCAGTACAGTCAGAGGTTGCAGTGAACACTGTACATTGTTTACAACACTCAGTAGTAGCCTACAGACCGGTTGAACCACTTTTTTTTAAAGCACTGCCTCCATTTGACTACAGACACTCTCTGCAGGTAGGACAGTCCAAAGCTCCCCACAGACTGCCATCACACTAATAATAATAATAATAATAATGATAATAATAATAATAATAATAATAATAATAATAATAATGGATTGGATTTATATAGCGCTTTTCAAGGCACCCAAAGCGCTTTACAATGCCACTATTCATGCACTCTCACATTCACACAGTGGTGGAGGCAAGCTACGGTTGTAGCCACAGCTGCCCTGGGGCAGACTGACAGAAGCGAGGCTGCCATATCGCGCCATCGGCCCCTCTGGGCAACACCAGTAGGCGGTAGGGTAAAGTGTCTTGCCCAAGGACACAACGACCAGGACAGAGAGGCCGGGGATCGAACCGGCGACCTTCCGGTTACAGATGCGCTTCCCAACCCCCTGAGCCACGGTCGCCGCAGAACCACAATTTCCCCATCAGAAAATGTAACATTCCCGGCATCACAACAACATCCACTTCTGAGTGGGATAACACAGGTGAACAGGTTTGAGGATTCAATGCAACTTAAATCGCACAAGAACAAACCACACACACTGTGAAGTGTCTGTGCAGTTTTCAACTTTTCCTTCAGTATATTTAAACCCATCCTACCATTTGTACTAAAACACTGGAACAAGTGACATCTATTAATGCTGGAAATTAACTCCATCTGTGGTAATGGCTCACCTGTAAGATGCTGTTCAAATAGCAGGTATTGCCCAGATTGTTGAGCCCCACGAACGGCACCAAGTTCTCTCTCTTCTCGCAGGACAGGAGGAGGCTGGGTGAGGAAGGACACTGAGAAGGCCCCGGGACCACCTGATCACAGCTGCTGATCAGTTAAGAAGGAAGCAAACAGAAAGTCAGCAGCTAATAAATTGAATTTCACAAATGACATCCACCATCACACACACACTGTTTTAAAATGATGATTACACTGAGATTAATGTTGAAGTGTAACCCCAGCTTGATTGAGATGAAGCCTACTATTAAAATCTAAGGTATCACTCATCCACACGTGCATTATCCTGCCCTCACAACAACAGTGGAATTCCCATAACTATCTGGATGTAACTGTGGGAAAACGAGTGCTTCGGGCTGCCCAAAACAAATCAGTCTAGAAAACTATTTGTGTTTGACGCACACTGGTAGCAGAGACCTACCTTGCCTCATGCTCCTCTGGCTCACATGTTTTGGGTTCTTCTGTCTGAGGTTCCGAGAAATCCAGAGCCCGCTTGGTTTCCTTCTTCTGGAAGAACTTCAGAGAGAGTTTACTCTTCTTCACTGGGCTCCCCGGAGCCGCTGATACCACACTTTCACCCTGCAGACCTGGCATCTTTCCTCCCGGTACCTTGAGGGCGATTTTTCTTTTAAATTCCTACTGAGACGCAACAGCGCACCTCACTGGTGAAAAATGGAAACACAATGTAATTTCAGCGGGCGCCATCAGAGTTCAACGAGAACGAACGTAGCTGCGCACTTAAATTCACGGTCCGCTATTGTGTAGCTAAACACGGACAGGTCCAGTCCAATCAATCACACACTTCTCAATAATACAGTCGAACCGGTTATTGACCGTACCACGCATTATGTAACATGTTAGCTGGCTAACGCTAACTTAAAGGTAGTACTTTGTTTCAGTCCTACCCACAAACAACCGCTCTAGCACGGCTTACGTTAGCAACTGTTTTCGCTTTAAATTACAGGGTAGCAACAAATAACTTGCTGTTTTTGAGCACGTTGCGCACATCACAGCGACAAACTGGCTCGAGAAGGTGCGGTGAAGAAGTGGGAGGAGAAAACAGAAAGCACGCCGTTTGAAACTGTTCACGGCCAAAAAGGACTTCTTTGAAATCCCAGCTGAGTCGAGAAAGAAAACTTACCCGAATGCTTCATTCCAGTTTAAGTTTAATATTTTCCATTAAACATCCCGTCTCGAAATGCTTTACGGAGTGTTTAACAATTCAGACGGTACAACAGAAGTTGGCGCTTTTTCCTGCTTGAAGATTCGCTGGCCGCTACATCGCCGGCAACGCTCGGATATCGCGTCAAAACATCCGGCCAGAATGTTTAAAAAAAACGGTCACGACTAAGCTTGAAAATCATCAGGTGTTGCCGAACATTTGGAAATGCGCGTATAACTCTGGGAAATTCTATACCTGAAAAGATTTACATGCCAGATTTCAGGCTAATGTTAAGACAACTATTTCGGCTAGGCCCAACCGGCCAGCTCCAAGCGCCATTCTTGTAGTCCTTTCTCCAGCTCCTTCAAAATAAAAGTCGAGCTAAACTTGAACAGTCATTTCTCATGTCTCACCTTTTTTCCTTTTTGAAGTACTAAGATTTTAAATACAGGACATTAAAAAATTGCTTTCATGAAATGAATGTAATAAAAAGTATACAACTCATCAAGGCTTCCATGGAAGCCAAGGGCCACAGAGGTTTCAAATTTCAAGTTGAGACAAGCTGAAGCTGGTCTGTTGTATAAGAGGTATAATTTGGGAGACTGCACTATATATTTCTTGAATCCTCTTCACACTTTATATATCTGACCCAACAAAAAAATTGCGATTTACAGAACAACGGTTAACATAGAATCGGATGTTTATATAGACAATATAAAATCATTAAGTAAAAACCAATGAGTATGAACAAAAGTGGGTCCAACAGCAAAAGAAAAAGAAAAAAAGATTATTAATTACCTGAAAAAAAACCCCCACGAGACTATAATAGTATAGTTATATAACAGTAAGTTATGAATTATGCTCAGTCATCCAGGTAAGAAAATCCCACAAAGTTGAATCTGTTGATCTGGAGGTACGTTTCAGTGGGAAAAATGTTTCATTTTCCATCAAAGTGACGTTTTCAGCTGACTGCAGGTTTCCCCAGCATTATAAGCAGTTCATTTGCATGATGACTGAAAACACCCACTAATGACTAACAATAGGCTGTTGATCAATGATCACTGAACCACTGATGCCCAATGACTGCAATCACAACACTTTAAGATAAGATAAGATAAGATAAGATAAGCTTTATTAGTCCCACACGTGGGAAATTTGTTTTGTCACAGCAGGAAGTGGACAGTGCAAAAGTTATGAGGCAAAAATTAGAATACAATAAGAATAAATACAGTACACAACTGTACAGAATAGAATAAAATAAAATACTATATACAGTAGAATAAAATAAAATAAATATACAATAAGATAAAAATAGAATACAAATACAAATACTATATACAACTGAGTAAAAATACAACGATGACAGAAAGGATTATTGCACTTAGTATTATTGCATATGTATGGATGTGTGTGCTTGATCAGTTAAAGTCTTTATTATGGAGTCTGACAGCAGTGGGGAGGAAAGACCTGCGAAATCTCTCCGTCCCACACCGTGGGTGCCGCAGTCTCCCACTGAAGGAGCTGCTCAGTGCTGTCACAGTCTGCTGCATGGGGTGGGAGATGTTGTCCATCAGGGATGACAGCTTAGCCGCCGTTCTCCTGTCACTCACCACCTCCACTGGGTCCAGAGGGCATCCTAGAACAGAGCTGGCCCTTCGGATCACCCTGTTCAGTCTCTTCCTGTCCCCAGCAGAGATGCTGCCGCCCCAGCAGACCACGCCATAAAAGATAGCAGAAGCCACAACAGAGTCATAGAAGGTCTTCAGGAGTGGGCCCTCCACTCCAAACGACCTGAGTCTCCGCAGCAGGTACAGCCTGCTCTGCCCTTTCCTGTAGAGGGCGTCTGAGTTATGAGTCCAGTCCAGTCTATTGTTCAGATGAACACCAAGGTACCTGTAGCTGTCCACAGCCTCAATGTCCATACCTTGGATGGTGAAGATGGTGAATGATGTATTCTTAGGCTAATACAGGGCAGGGAAGCTGAAGGATTCCTGGTTATCCCAGACCATTATGGACATGGAGGCAAGGAGGTCATTTACATGAAAAGGGAATGACCATCTCTGAAGCAAGGACAGGGCCTTACTTCACCATTTTACAGCGCTGTTTGTGGCTATTCTCCAATTCTCTGTGAATGGTACTCATGCCACTGATGAATGGTCATGGCAGTTTGCATATTAACGCTCATAAAACTGAACTCTGGGCCTATCGGCTGTTGTGCTGTGCTCTCGTTAATGATATCAAGTCATTGTGAGACAGAACCAAAATCCTGTCACAAGGTAGAAGCTGCAATAAAAAGTGACTTTCATATATATAAGAGTCACTTTCAAGCAGGTAAAAAGTGTCTGACATTAAAAATGCCCTTTTCCAAGAGAGATCTGGAAAGCAGAAATTGCAGCAAGTTTAACATCCCAGTTCTATAAAGATATTCTAAGTGGCTAAAAAGGAATGGATTGATTATAATGTAATTACAATAATCGAGTCAAAGATACTTGCAGACAGGCATTTTTTTTAATGTTATACAGCGACTACAGTCTATTAACAATATAAGCAAAGCTATTACGCATAAAAAACATATAGAATTGAACCAGATCTGACCTTTTTTGACGGTTGATCACTTTTTGGCACAACAGAGGAAATCTGTAGTTAGGAAATCACTGCCACCAGACAACCGGGGTTGATTTTCTGGGATTAAGTGAGTTAGTTTAGTTTGAGTGGGGATGAGATTTTTGCACGTACCATTTAAAGTCGTAGATAACAAACCAAGAAAGTGTCCTACTAAAATCCTAAGCAAGAACATGGCAACCACCGACTTTCATTAGCCAGTTCTTCTTTTATTTTGAAAAAAGTAAACGGAAGTTCATAGTTTGCAGCTGTTAAAATGAAACTATTTTTTTTGTGGAAGCAAAGTATATTTGTGGACTTTTGTTTAATAACGAAGCTTGTCCCACACCAGCTGTTCATAATTATATTTAAGGAATCCATTTACATGTATACATAATACATAAACAGGGAGAGAAACCAAAACGCTTATTGTACAGGCACTTCCCACTTTGCACCAACAGGGGGCGACATTATCCAGCCGAACGGAGGTCGATCTGTCCAGCAGTATCATTCCCTCCTTCACCGGAGCATCTCATCGTTTGACAGTCTCCGAGGCTATCCCTCCGCGACTGTGACGGTAAGACACTGTTTACGTTTCCCCTGCTTGCAGCGTTAATTGATAAACCTAAATCTGCCCGAATAGCCGGGCCGCGAGTGCGTCTAGTTTAATCTTCTTTACAGCTTATTTGTATCAGTTGCACTGTTTTGCTTTTACAGTATTATGGAGTGCTTTGGCTGGCGTGTTTTTTTGGGTTGTTTTTTTTTACGATATAGAGAGGATCGCATCACCTTAAAACCGCACAGACATGGTGTTTCGTTTCATCCATGCACGTAGTCAGTGCAGGCATTTGTCAGTACGACGCTATGAAGGCTGGACGATCCGCTGCTGCTGCTGTTGTTACAGCTGCTGCTGCTGCTGAAGAGTGGTTGCTTGGTCAGCAGCAACGTACCGATGGACACTGAGCTGCTGTGCCTCAGCTTCCAGAAAACCTCAGTGGTTTTCACGCTGATGGTGGAGGGATGTTGCTGTGAGGATGCCGATGCAGTAGTGGATGGGAGTACTTTAGGGGTGCTAAGACTTCCTGTGGGACTGTAGATGATGATGCCATCGCCATCCTTCAGTCTGATGGCTCAAAATACTCTTCAGTCTCCAGCTCTGAGGTAGCTTTAATAGCAAACCTCTTAATTAACTTACTGTAGCCTACCAGAGTCTCACACTTCACTTAAAGTGGGTTCAGTTTATCCTAAATCACTCTTGTGGTGTGACTTCATTACAGATCAAACAAGCAGCTAGTGATCTCTTTAGATTACAGAAGGAGGGCCGGGGAGGGGAGGTGTTGGATATGCTTTCTCTCTCACTCACCATTTAAATCCTAACCAGGAGACTCACATTCAGGAGGATTAGTGTGTTTCCCTTCTCTCATCACCTCCTTATAACAGAATTTTATAAAGAGGGCATTGCCAGGTCACCCACGTGTCAAGCTGCTGTATGCTGAAGGGTCAAATGTACGCAGGGCTTTATTTCCGGTATTTCAGACGCTGAATGCGATAACTGGAGAGATCTGTGCAGTGAAACGTTGGTGGCAATACTCTCTCTCACCGGAGAGATTTTCCATTTTTAGAAGGCATAAAAAAATGACTCGAGGAACAATGCTAAGGACAAAAAGCTTCTCTTTTACCTGGATGTGACACATTCAGGTACTGTTTATGAACCAAGTTTACAAGAACTTGAGCAATGAGGTGCTTGAATTATGCAAGTGGCCTTTATCAAGGTTGGCCTTGTCCCACGAGGCCCAAAGCTCTAGTGGCTGGAGCGGTACAGGTGGGTGGTGTGGCGGGCTTAAAGCCCATGAGACAAAACAGCCCCCCTCCTCCAGCCTCCAGCCTGGTTCTCTCTCAAGAACTGAGCACTGGTAGGAAAATGAAAGCATGCTGAACGACAGGCAGTGGTGAACTCCAAGAATGAGAAGCATGTCCAAGTCTGCTACACTTGTGTGCACACATGTACTCAGAAATGCAATGAAAAACAGAGACTTTTCTTTCAGCTTAGAGCAGTTGGAACAAAGAAAAACTGGAGCGCAATCTGAAAAAAGCAAAAACACAAGCATAAGTGAACAGCTACGCTTCTCACTTTTCACGTGTTTTGCACCCTGTCTGAGAGGGTTTTATAAGGATAAGCAGAAGAGAATGGATGGATATGTAAATCTGCTACACTATGACTATAACTGTTAACATCAACACTTTATTTCTCACACAGAAAGTAGTTTAATGTGTAAGCGTGTCAGTGAAAGTAAGTTAAAGCTACCCTTTATAAGTATGCATGTGTGCATAACTCTGCATGGATGGATATTTGCATATATCAGATCTGATCAGATCTCAGGCTGCACATAGGATCCCTCTCTCTCTCTCTCGCTCTCTCTCTCTCTCTGTGTATACTTGTGAGCATCTGAGCGAATCCCGTTTGATGTATGCCGAGGAGGTGGGTGTATCCAGCCCAGCCGCTCTGATGTTGGGAGGCAATAACTTCCATCCTACTCAGTCTGCTCTCTACTCTCACTGCTCTCCTGTTTCAGCCAGTCTGTCTGCCTCCTAGCGTAGTACTCTGCTTTCACTCACCATTATTCATCGCCATCTAAGGATATATATATATATTTACACAAACCCACAGAGGCAGACGGAGCACCTTCCTAACGGACCCGAGACTTTGCATTTGGCTGATAGAGATATAAAATATACACCACCCTGCAAAGACATAAAAGTGGGGCTCGATAGCAGTTCTTCTTAAACTGACATTTGTTGTTCCCCGCTACTACATTTTTTCCATCACAAAGGATTTCACAAGCAGCTGCTGAGGTAAGGGAAAGATAGATTTCTCTCCGTTTGACTGTTTTTCACGTGCATTTGTCCCCTGGTGCATCCTGGTCTTCCAGGTTCGGTGCTTGGCAACTTGAGAACACGTTTTTTTAGCATGTTGTGTTTGATCAACTGATTATATTTATTCTGGGCTTCTCTCTGAGCTTATGGATCTCTTAGTGTCTGTGTTGTAATCAGATGAAGCAGTCCGGGCATGCACATACATCTGTGCTAACAAATGATATCTCTTTGTTTATCATTACTCCTCCTACCTGCTGATTCTTCCTCTGAAGTGTTTTGTTAGCAAGGACAAGCATCAGTAAAACTCACTGCTGCTCCAGCTAACCTCTTTCAGCTGGAGCCTGACATGTGCACATATGTGTGGGGTTACAATATAAGCACGCTGTGGTGAAGTGCTGTAACTAGTCAGTGGCCGGTCAGAAGGAGTAAAAGCGAAGGATGGTTGTTGTTCGGAGTGATCATATATGCAACTTCTGCTTGGTTGCCTCTGCATTCAGTGTGCCTCTCTTTGCTTTTCCCTTCCCTGCCCTCTCCCTCCCTCTCTCTGCTCTCTTATGGTCTGCTTGTATTCACAGTCTTGGTCACTGCTCTGCTTGCCTGCCACAGACCATTGGCCATGGTTGGATGGCTAACCGCAGCTACACAACATTAAAAAGGCAAAAAGTTCCTATTTCGCGGGGCATGTTTGCAGGGTACCACTTTGTGTGTGTATGTGTGTGCTATATGCTGCATTTACTGACTTTTGGATTTCTACTCCGTCGCTCAGGTGAAAGGGCACGCGGTTGTTAGCACATAACACACATTGTCCTCAGAGATACAGCTGACCTGCATTTAGTCCTTGCGTGTGTATGTGTGCGTGTTCTGTGTTTGTGTTTGTGTGTGTCAGTGTGATTTCCTTGGAGGTTCAGAGAGGTGAGTCATACCAGCTCAGAGGCTGGTGGCTGTAAGAGTCATTCGGTGTAACGATGCCTTGATGTGCGATTTGCAAATTGACACTGTCTGATGGAACCGTGTATCTGTGAAATGCCAACTTTTCAGGAAATGAAAGCAAGCAGAACTGCCTTTTTAAGCTCAGTCGTCATTCATTTTTAAGGCTTTCTAGTACAGCTGGAAGCAGTTTTGTCATCTCAAGTCTAACAGAACTTTCTCCACACAGAGGGGTTTGTAGTGTTTTCAAGCTAGCCGAGAGACTGCTAAATAACATTAAAAAAAATCCAAATGTTGAATATCTAAGACGTAAAATAAAAGCATGCATATTTAACATAAACAAAACAAATACTAACAGCACACAGAACATGTTTTGTTGATATCTATAACCCGCAGTCGGATCATAGCAGCGTGGTTCTTTGATTGGGAGTGTCTGCTGAAATTCTTCAACAGCTATTTGTTGGATTCCCATGAAAACTCAGACAGACATCTATGGTACCCTGAGGAAGAATCCTGCTGGCTTTGATGATCGCCAGAGTTTCCCTATGAGGCTGTTGTGAAGCTGTGTAAAATGTAAATATAAACAAAATGCAACAATCTGCAAAACTCATAAACTCTGAGCCATTTTTGCCTCTGTAGCATCTATTTTTTTAACAGCAGTTTGTAAATGTCTGTGCTGCTGTTTAATATAAATATACAAAACCTTCCCTGAAACTGACAACATCAGGATGGGAGCATGTGTTGATCTTAAACCTCACATTTTCATGTAACCTTCAGCACTGATGGTGCCCATGTTTTCCAAAAAGAATTTCACATTTTGATTCATCTGGCCACAGAGCAGTTTTCTACTTTTTCACAGTCCATGTTAAATGACCTTTGGTCCAGAGGAGACTGTGACCTTTCCGGCCACTTGTGACTTCTACTTCTTTGCATGACAGAGGTTTAGCCTGCATGTGTGAATGGCACCATAAACTGTGTTTGCATGATCACAGAATCATGCCCGTGTTTAATGCTGTGTCACCCGAAGGCCCGAAGATCACAGGCATCCAGTATTGATTTTCAGCCTTGGCCTTTATGAAGATATTCATATTATGTACCCTAGATGATGAGAATCATGCTTACATTGATAAACATGATTCTGAAATTGTTTCGTAATGTGAAGATTGATGAGTCTCTGTCCATCTTTGCTTCTGATACACGCTGCCTCATTTTATATCCAATCATATTACTGACCTGTTGCCAGTTTAGAATCAGAATCAGAATCAGAAAGGGTTTTATTGCCAAATGTTGAGCAGGTTTACAACATTAGGAAATTGCTGCGGTACTTAGTGCAAAACATACTATCAGATAACGCTTAAATAAACATAAAAATACAGATTGTGTCCAGGGGGAGAAGGGTCAGCTGTGATCTGAGCTGCACGCCCCAGTGTCCTGGAGGTGTACAGGTCCTGCAGAGATGGGAGTCTGCAGCCAATCACCTTCTCAGCAGTGCGCACAACACGCTGCAGTCTCTGTTTGTCCCTGTTTGTCATCAGGGACATCCCCACGGTGATGGAGGAGGTGAGGATGGACTCGATGATTGCAGTGTAGAACTGCATCATCGTCCGTGTTGGCAGGTTGAATTTCTTCAGCTGCCTCAGGAAGTACATCCTCTGCTGGGCTTTCTTAATGACGGAGGTGATGGTGGGCTCCCACTTCAGGTCCTGGGTGATGGTGGTACCCAGGAAGCGGAATGAGTCCACAGAGGTGATGAGGGTGTCAGTCAGGATGATGGGGGGGAGTGGGGCTGTGTGCTTCCTGAAGTCCACAACAATCTCCACTGTCTTCTGGGCATTCAGCACCAGGTTGTTGTGGCTGCACCAGGACACCAGACGTTCAACCTCCCTCCTGTAGGCAGACTCGTCCCCGTCCGAGATGAGTCCAATAACGGTGGTGTCATCTGCAAACTTGATTAGCTTGACAGACTGGTGGGTGGAGGTGCAGCAGTTGGTGTACAGGGAGAAGAGCAGAGGAGAAAGAACACAGCCCTGAGGGGAGCCGGTGCTGATGGTCCGGGAGTCCGAGACATTCTTTCCCAGCCTCACATGCTGCTTCCTGTCGGTCAGGAAGTCAGTGATCCACCGGCAGATGGGATCAGGCACATTCATCTGGGAAAGCTTGCCTTGGAGATGGTCTAGAAGGATGGTGTTGAAGGCAGAGCTGAAGTCCACAAACAGGATCCTGGCGTAGGTTCCTGGGGAGTCCAGATGCTGCAGGTTGAAGTGTAGAGCCATGTTGATAGCATCGTCTACAGACCTGTTGGCTCTGTATGCAAACTGCAGGGGGTCCAGGAGGGGGGCCGTGAGAGTCTTGAGGTAGGAGAGAACCAGGCGCTCAAATGACTTCATGACCACAGATGTCAGAGCCACGGGTCTGTAGTCATTTAATCCAGTGATCCTTGGTTTCTTGGGGACAGGGATTATGGTAGAGGACTTGAAGCAGGCAATTCCTGCCGTGAGGAATTGAAAATGCCAGAAAACACTGGGGCCAGCTCGTTTGCACAGTGTCTGAGGGTGGCAGGTGACACACCGTCTGGGCCAGGAGCTTTTCGAGCATTCAGACTCTTAACTGCTTCCTCACATCTGCTTCATGAATATGAAGGGTATTAACTCAGTTAGCTGCAAAATGTTCCTCTAGCTTGGGTCTACTTCATTTGCCGGTCTTTTCTCACCACCTTTTCAACTTTTTTGAGACGTGTCACTGCCATCAAATACCAAACAAGATAATATTTTTCATATAAAAGCAAAATGTATCCGTTTAAACATTTGATATGTTTTCTGTGTTCTACTGTGGATAAAATATGGTTCCAGGAGATCTCAAAATCTGTACACTCTGTTTTTATTTACACGTTGCACAGCATCTCAAACTTTTTGGAATTGGGGTCGTACATTTACATTTTCTGGGGTGAACTAAAAACAGCTTGAAGGGTAAACTGGCCAAGTTTGGTCTTACAGTGGAAACCAGACGCATTAGAGACCAAGCCGTAGGTAGAACTGTAAAGGAAGGCCTCAGCAGCTTAATCTGATGGAAAGTCTATTGAAGCACTAAAGCAGACACACACACACACACACACACACACACACACACACACACACACACACACACACACACACACACACACACACACACACACACACACACACAGAGAGACCCTGAGCCCACCCAGAATGTGTAGCCACTTCAGTGAGCATTTAGCATTGCTGCTCTTATGCAGAGCAAACACATGGAACCGTGAACAAAATCATGCTATGCTTTTCTTTCCTCAGCAACCCTGTCGTGTTGTCTGGGTCTGTGTACGTGATGGTCGTGATGATAATTATTTCAGTTTATTATTCTGAAGATAGCTTCCAAACAAAGAAGCAGCTCAAAATACTTCACACAGCACACGACACGAATCCCTCACAGCGTCATCGCAGTGATGTGTGTGCGGGTCTGGTGTGTGTAGAGCAGCGCCTGTGGAGCTGAATGGGCAGTAATGTGCATGGTGGGAGTGGAGTGTGCGTGAAGTTAGCGGGTGCCAGTAGATACCAGTCTGTGCCCTGGCTGTGTGCCCGGTGCTCCCATGTGGTTTATGTTCTCCAGAATTTCACATCCAAGTTCAAGTTCAAATTTTATTTGCCACATGCAGTGGCAGGTTGCCCTGCAGTGGAATGAACCCGCCCCCCGACCATACACACACAACACAGACATCACATGAGGATACAAGTCAGAGAACGGTAGCATTACAGAAAAAACACTGAAATGTACACTACAATGGGAAAGTACAAGAGGAAAAAAAGAGGCCTCTACTCATGCTGGGCTATAGGAGGACAGCATGAGAACAGGAAACAAAAAACTGACCAGTGACCAGCAACAGGGTTGGGTAGGGGATAAGGAGTAATCCCAGGCAACACAGCAGCCATTCTGCCACTGGGCCGACTCTCCAGCGCGGGCCCAGACCCGCCTTGTGTTCCATTGACTTTTCCGAAGACTTCACCAAACCCATAAATGTCTTTGTTGGCCCACACAGCGTG